CCTACCAAACTCGACACATGACTATACATAGACATGCAACCATATGTCGTATATGCGACTGTCAGTGTATGGTACACCCACTCGGCCAATTTCCAATACTCTGACGCCGGAAGCCTCCCGTGAGGCCCCGGCACCGGGATTCACGCCCTGCTTCCGGGACTCCTGGAGCCAAATCTTGGCCTGCAACCATCATGACAACGATCAGACTACTAGGCCACTAGTCACTGGTGCTGGTGGGGGCCAGAATGGTGATATATGAATCAACGGCAGCATAGTCAGGTAGAGTAATTATGAAAGTCTTACCGCGAGAACGGCAACAGTAGTTGACGTTATTACGGGTCACGCCTGCGAGAGGTCTCCCACACGCACGGCAGCATTGACCAGCGCACCGAAGGTCTGGGCCTTTGAAGAAAGGGATAAGAAAGGGCCATCAATCAAGCCCCCTTGCGACAAAGCGCAAGCGTGACCCTAAGTCCGGGTCGCTCGGCTGCAGCCCTTCATCCAATATGTCTTGGAAGGCTTTGCGGGCCTGCCCGATCTGTTGCAGCTTGCCACAGCCCAAGTGAACATGAACTAAGCAGCGATTCAGCTGCTTGCTTTGGTCGCTGCACTCGCTACCACCTTTCAAGATCCTTTTTTCCGGCACTCCCTCTTCTTCGCTTGCGTTTTACTGAGCAAACTTTGCTGACAGTACCTGGGGCGTGGCAATCTGGCAGAATTTCGGCACTTGTGCAGGGCTGGCCAGTTTGATTCAAGTTGCATGATGCCGTCCCCTTCGCTAGCGTCAAGATCCTGGCCAAGCTGTCGGTGCAAATTCCCCAACCCTGACGGACTAGGTGGGCCCTGCCAGCCTCCCAGCCCACGGCTTGCAGCATGGCCTGGGCCTCGGCCTCCTCCGGTAAGGCTGCGGCCTCGTCACGGCAAGCTAACCACGCTAACCGCGACGCTAACTGTAAACCTGAAGCATTCACGAACAGCCAGAGCGGAAACGAGAGATGGTGCGGGGATGGGGAACTACCCGACATGGTGCTCAACTCAGAGGAACCAAAGGTGCATCATGCGATGCGGGCATCGCCGCATGTGTCGATGCAAGCGCGTAGTAGGATCCTGCATGCCTCCCTCCCCGAATCAGCAGAGTGCCTCAGCGATGGGGCCTGGTCGGAGCTTCATGTCCCGCAAAAGAGAGCCTAAGCGTGGCTCAGTTGGATCGGGTACCGGGTATCTGGAGCTAGCTGGGATCTGAGAGCCCAGCGACAACTCCGACAATCAGAAGCCACTTCGTTTCGACCTGGAGGTTACTCTGGTCGCGGCTGTGCTTTGGATAGAACCCTGAGCCCGCCTTCCGCAATCTTGACCAGGGAAATCTGCCGCTTGATCTGGTCAGGATTTCGCCATGACCGCCCTCGGTGGACGCAGCTTCTGTTGTCGCAGATCACGAGGTCGCCAGCAGACCAGGAGTGGCGATAGATAAACCTGAAGACCCTGTGATAGAACCCGTACATAAACACCCTGCAGCTACTCCAAGACATTCCAAAAAAACAGAGCACAGAAACCACAACATGCCAATAATGATACAGCTGCCGCTCCTGGGTCACATGTTTGTTGATCTTCCTGACGTCGGGCTTACAGGGGGCACATGCAGAGGGCAGAATGCAGCACTGCAGCCTTACGTGAGCAGGTCAGGTCCTGATCAAGGCGCGCCCTGATTGCAGTGGCATGCCCTCGATGTGGCTACAGTGTCTGCCTGCGAAAAGGGACCTTCAGAGCAACATAGAGTGCGGCTGCTCAAACATGACATTTGCCTCTCTGACTGATCTCTCTGCGCCTCCCAGCAGGTGTATGTCGAACGAGAAAGTGTCGCGCAGGTGGAAGGCGCCGAAGGAATCGAGCCGAGCATCCGGTCAAGCCCAAGCTGTATCGAAAGTCATGGACACCTCAGAGCTATGGCCTGCTTCTCCTTTTGAGACCTTCTGCAAAAGAAACTTGCGGCCGGGCCACAAAGAAGTCGGTCAAGCTCATGCTGCTCCGCTGGAGTCAATGCATTGAAAGCCACACGGGTCGAAGCAAACTCCGTCTCTCCACCGCTTCCTGGCGCAGCCGTGTTGTCGGGACCAGAATATGGTGCAACGGCGCTTCCCAATGTGCTCAAGCTTTTTGACTTACAAGAACATCTGACAGGGACCTGCTTGCGAAGCAAAACATGTCCTGGCGGCACCACGACATTCCCCACCATCAAAGAAGCCAGAGCTGGCATCACCTGAAGCATTGAAGAGAGCACAACTCGCTTGAGCAGCTCCCGAGACAGTGGGGCCTTGAAGGAGGAGTCAATGTGCCAAAGCCCATTTCCGGCTCGAAGCTTCAAGAGGCGATCATCACATGTCAAGATGCAGCCTCGTGAATTCGGCGAAGGTCGCCGCCGCCGGAATCAGGCAAACTCAGGGAATCACAGGCATGCCGCCTGTTGTGGCATCAAAGTTCGCGATCCGACCTTGGCCGCTTCCCATATCACGTTTGGGAGTGCAAAGGAACAGCTACAGCACCGCGACTGCAGGTAGAATGCCTGCTTTCTGTCGAGTTGCCAATGAGGCGTGTTGAGCTGGAGCTCCCTTTCTTGACTCGACCCCCGGCGGGCCCTTCACTGGCCTCGAGCTCGGCCCCTGGGAACTGGGCTGCAAAGGCTCCTTGCATTTAGGAATGAGAAACCGATAACTGCAGATCAGAGAAACCGAGGAACTTACAACACGAAAGAACTCGAAGGACAGCGTCTCACAAGACGGGTCTCTTGCAAAGCCAATGAGCTCATCGTCTGTCAAGCTCGCAGACTTGAAGACCAGCACGGAATACCTAATTTGGAAGCAACTCCATCTGCTCCGTCCTGTTGTGTCACGAGGAACCGAGAGCAAAAACAAAGACTGTCATCATGGGCATAACATTCGGGCTCTCATGATGACGAACCACATCGAACATCACAATAGCAATCGCCATCAGCACCGTCACCTCCAACACTATCATCATCATCATCATCATCATCATCATCTGGGCTGATAGAGATAGAACTATAGAACTGCATCCAAGACTCTGCTCGAACAGATCCTGCAACAGAGCCAGAGAGTCTGCGTCGAGCACGGAGCTCAGTTGAAGTCCGTCAACCTGCGCGGACGATGCCAGACGACGCAATCAAAGATCACGAGAGGCCTGGCCTTGACACCAAAGCCAAATGAAGTCAGAGGTGTGACAGCGACCGGCACTTCCTAGGATTCAGTGCTGCGGCTCAGTAGGATTCAGTGCTGCTGCTCAGTGGGGGAAACGTAGATAAAGCCGTAAGGAAGGATGAGATGCAACATGGCGTCTCGTCCTTGTCTCCCCAGCTCGTTCAGCCTGCGAGTCTGCCCCTTCGATGCGGGGTGACCTGGTCGGCACTGGTTGGCAGCGTTATTACGATGCCTCCTGGCCAATTCCCATGAAGTTCTCCCATCAACGTATCTCAAACCTGCCTCCTGCACTGCGCCTGCCAGAGGCCCGCGGCCGGCGGCCATCCAAGCAGACCGGCAACAGCAGCGCAAGGCCCCACCTATTGTGAGGCCCAGCTGGAGACATCTCACGCACAAGGCTAACGAAATTTGGAAACCAGCTGCCTGCCGAAGACGCTGGCGGAGCAACCGGACACTGGCGCAGCTGAAGGAAGCAGCGGAGACAGCGATGGAAGCAAGCTTCTTAAGCAAGGTTGTGTTGGCAAAGTGGGAGCAGCCCGCATGGCAAGAGTGAGCAAAGACACTCCCATGGCAAGCGCGTTGAAAGGCTTGCAAACTAATGCATACGGAGCTCGCTGAGGCATTGTGAGTCGACAACTATCGGGGGGCGATGTCGATGCCAATTCAATCGCTGTGATTCCCACACATTCGGCGGCTGGTCGCGATTGCATGGATGCTCCTAGCACATCAAGAACTGCAGGTTGCCGGTGCCTGCTTCAGTTTCTTGAAGCGTGCTGCCCGGGCAATGACCTGGCGCAAAAGAACAAATTATGATAAATCTGGGCGCATTGCAATACTGCTGTGAAGGCCGGTTGTTGTCTGAAAATTTGCATGAAGCTGCCAGTCAGCCTGATTGAGACGGACGAGGCGATCTCGCTGCCATTTTGCCTCGGCTGCTCTCAGCCAAGAGACGGGAACACTGACAGATAGTGATCGCTGCTGACGCGGTGGCCATTTTGGGTCGAGCTCCTTGACACGTGAAGCTGTTGGCCTTCAACACCACAGCAAGGCTGGAGAAGCAGTGGCGAACAGGTACATGCACAGACAGCGCGGCCTCCTGGGTGTCGACTGCAGCATTCCTCTTCCGCTTCATGGCCAAGGCAGTGCCAAGATTCTCAACCGAATTTCTATTCTAGCCGAAGACCGATCGGCTGCAGCTATACTTTCTTGCTTGTGCGCAGGCCATCATGCTTTCAGAGCCAAGTGATGGCTGCAATCGCTGTTGTGGGTGGAGAGAAATGCGAGCATGTTGCCGAACGACTGGGACTACACTACTGTCGATGCACTGTCACGACTCGAGCAAAACATGTTCGGTCTCAATCAAGCAGATATGGATGCTTGGCGGAGGCTCGCTGATCCTACTTGTTGTGCTGCGAAGCAAACGTACACACCTACACTTCACTCTTCTCCTGCGCAGCGTGGCAACTATGTCTTCCTCCACCCGCGTAAAAAGCGCAGCTTGAAGTTCCATCCTGACACCACACTGCAGCATAGCCGTCAACATGCCCTACGGTTTTCGCTGACCTGTCGACGGCGCAGCAGGAGTCAGCCACCAGGCAAACTGCTGTTGCCTAGGTTCGGGCTCCATGTGAGGGTGTCTACAAACAACTCGCTGTATAGCACACAAAGTGTTGTCACTGCTGTCTTCCAAGAGGCATCGGGCCGAAGGCCTGTTTGCAGCAACAGCTTTAACCCACAAGTTATACATGGTCTACATTGACCGTTTGCATGTTGTTGTACTGAGTCTCCGGCGCACGGCATGCATCTCATGGAACAGTGCGAGCACCATCTCTGGCTGCTGGCAAGCCTGGCGTGCTTGCTGCGCAAGCGATCTCGGCCGAATTCGACAACGCCAGGCTCCTCCATGACTGAATTGAAGGCGACGGCCCCCGTCTGCATCCTGCGATAGCCATCCCACACCGAGCAAGGAGCAGTCTTTGCAGGGGGCACACATACGAATCACTGATCTCTACACAGCCCGTCCATGGTGGCCCCGTGGGATCCACAAGGAGAAGCCCCTTCTGCCACCGTCGCGCTGCTCCACAAGCAGCGCAGCAGTTGTTGACAGTCAGCCTATGGCGAGATTGCGAGGAAAGCCTAGCTGTTTGCTTGTCTACTCGGGGCAAAGGGCTCATGCCAGAAGTTCTCCAGAGGATGTCAGCCTCTTCCGTACTAGCTGCGGGCTACTCGTAGCTTGAAGGATCATTGTGTGATAGCTGTGATAGCCTGTCTGGCAGAAGGCCACACTGCCGAAGCTGCTCCAGGGCCGCAAAGGCACTGGCCCAATCCGAGCCTGCAACGGCCTGGGCACCAAAACTGTGGCACGCCTTCTGGCTCGCTTCAACGCTTCAGGCTCTGCTTCGCATACTTCTGGTGAGATTCCCAGCAAGCTTAGCGACAACAATTTTCTACAAAGCACCGGTCATACTTCTGCCCCGTTCAATGGAGGAAGTGCTGCAGCAGGGCAGCCAAATAGGCATTGAAGGAGATGAGGTCCGGCTGCGGGCCGCACTTGAGCATTTCGGTGAGAAGAGCCGATGCCTTGGGCACCTGCCAAGGCACAGCCCACTCACAAGGAATCGAGAGGTGCTTCTAAAGAAGAGCACAACGCGCGTTCGCCTCCATGGCCCGGCCACAGGCCGTGATCAGCACGTTGCATGCGCCGCATGCGCCGGGAAGGCCGCGGCCGGGATCTCTCGAAGGCCTTGGCCAAGGCGCTCACGGAGCGAGCAAACACACACGGGCGACGAGACGCGAGCGGGTTCGATTGGGACGCTGGCGACACTGGCGGTGGCAAGGAGCCAAGGAGGGACGTCGCTTCCGGCCATGCATGGGCCATGCCCATGGCATTGATCACGGCTCCAGCGAGGACACCATCGACCTCCCCTCTGCGATGCAGGTCGAAGTACGCAAGCATATGCAGTGCTTTCCTCCAGTGCTTGGCGCAACACGTTGCAGCCGACGCTGCTGCTTCTTTGGAAAGCAGACGCCTGGCTGCCATGGCTGCGAGCAAGGCGTTGCCTCTCGGCCAATCACCAGGCCCCGTGGCCGCAGCTCCCGTGGCTTCCGACAAATCCCAGAAGGCTTGGCCAGCCATGGCGGTGATGAGCCCTGTGAAGGTGACGGCCGTCAGCTCCATCAGCTGCGTCTTCATCGCCTCCAGGCTGAGGAGTGCGTGACACCAGCTCCGGCTCCTACTGAGAGAGCCATATGCAATGCATTGCAATGCCAGGCCAGATCCCTGGCCAGATCCCTCACTACAACAAGTAGAGCAATGGTCAGCCACAAGCCGAACAGTCCTGCCAGAGGCAGTAATGGCGGCGTTGCAGAGCACTGAGTCGGAGGGGGCGGCTGCCAGAAGCGTGGCAACAGCCCAGGCGCCTGCCTCGGCACACAGCCCGCCCACGGCGCTGCGCACGAAGACGTTGGCCGCCAATCCTTCCCAGTGCGTCAGTGCGACAATGTACAAAATTAGGAAGCCAAGCACAGGTATCCACTCACTACAGCAAAGACACGGGCAGACAGCTGTGACCCCACCTTGGATGGACAGGCCCCTGGCCATGTGCAGCGCCCTGGACCACCGCGAGACTCGACTCCGGGACCACGGGGAACTCACGCGGCGCCTCAAGGCGCTCAAGGCCTCGGCCACAAGAGCCCGAGCGTCGAAAACTCCGAGGCAGCTACTGGTAGGCCTCTTTCTTCGGAATCCATCAAAAGGAGCATGGCCCGAATCAAGCGGCCGAAACGTGACTGCGCTGGTTCGTTCTGATTTGCCACTGTCTCGCAGCTGCAAGAAGTTCCGAAGCAGCGACCCACAGGAGATGTCTACCTGAGGGAAGACAGCGCTTGAAACCAGCCTGGCGATTTCGAAAATCTGCCGCAAACTGCCAAGCACTGCCGAGCGACCCAAAATCATCACCACACCATTGAACATCACTGTCTCCAGAATTCTGAGCTCCTCCGGGCAAGGTCTTGCAGCGAAGTCGGGACGGCAGCACTGTCAAGTGCGCTACCGAGGCTTTCACGTCGAGACGCTGACTAAAGCAGCAGGAGCTTCCGACACGTGCTCCGTCGTAGTGCATCAGCCGGATCGAATCATAAGCGCATTGATCTCTGATTATGTGTTAACTGTTAGCCGCACAAGCGAGCTCCCTCATCGTCCCTTGTACCCCATCACTCCCCCATGCCTTTCCACTCTAACTTCGGGACTGGGACGCGACATCGTGCAGCTCTGCTGGGAATCTAATCAGAATGGCAAAAATTTGGATTGGAGCTTGCGGCAGGAATGTGACCGCTGATCTCTGGTTGCTTTGTCATCAGGCTCGTACATTTCCGACGCAGCACCTTCCACGGCTATATCCAGAAGTCGAGCACTGCAAATATTGGCCGGTGAGGTAACCCCATGAGGGCGGAACTACAGTCTGCTTGAGTTCCCATGATTCCTTTGCAGGCTTCAGATGCTCAGCACACTGGGTGACTCGACGGCCAACCACCCACGAGAGACTTCCCTGCGCAAAAGCCTCGCTTCATCAGAGCTGTTGCAGCTGTCCTGTACAGCTTCCAGCAAGGCCAGCGCCGGCTTCCAAGATGTCAAGCGAGAGCAGGCACCAATGGTGTCAGCGACGGCCGCAAGCGTCGGCCGGCAGTCTCGGCAGGTCTGTCGCAAGGCTGCCCGCTGGCTTTGGTAGCTCCAAGACTTCACAAGCATCGCCATGTCCACCTGCAACAACATCTTACTGCCTGAACATGAACCGGCCAAACGAAGCTGACCCCGCAAAACCGACAAAGCACAGCATGAGAGTCACGTCCGAGCATTCGGGTGGGCACCTCCCGCTCTTATCAAGAGTCCATGACACATCTGCAGATTCTGCACAAGCTGGCGGCAAAGCGAGCATTGCAAATTGCTTCCCGAGTCACTGAGGTCATGGTCACTTAGCTGAAGTGAACATGGGCGGAGAACTTCCGAAAGGCGCATGGTCGGTGGCTGAGTGCTTCTGGATGTTGCCTGTAAACATGTTTCATGAGTTTGGAGGTGAAACAGCTTTGGAGGAAGCAAAAGGAATGCAAACATTGCTGGTTCGACACAGCTCTTGCATGCTCTTGCCGCTCACAGTTACTTCCAAAACATGTCGACGTTTCAGTGTCGGATCAAAAAGCTCTGAGAACGCCTGTGTGCGCTTCGGTCATTTTGATGATGTGCCTCGCACACACTGTTCGCAGCTGGTAGCGCCAGCAGCTGCAGATTTGCAAGCTGGCGGCCAACCTTGAATTGACGAAAAGCTGAAGAACAACGATCCGTGCAGTAGCGCGACGTCATTGAGCCGGCGACGCAAAATCGCCGCGAAATGCATGCACTAATCCTGCCAGGGTCATGGTGCACATTGTCCGTGGATACAGCCACTCAGGGCTTCAGCGCTGTGGCAGACCTCCGCGCGACGGAGCCAGCACATCGGGTTTTTCTTTGTCGCCGACACATCTTGCTGGAAGCTGAAGAGCTCCTGTTCAAGTTTCTATTATGGACTTTGCATGGACCGGGTCAGAGATCCCAGAAATCCTTGATCATGCGGATGTTGTAAAGCAGCGCTGTCCATCCTCGACCCGACAAGAAAAGGGGCTGAGGGATCAAAGCATAAAATCATCAAAAACACAAACCTTGGGTCAAAGAAAACCCAAATGGTGATCAACCAAAAATCGAAGGCTCATATGTCCTATTGGCTGTGCTAAAGAAGAACAAATGTCGGATCAAACAATCCAACAGGGATCAAGTAGGGATCAGACCAACGGCAGCAGTAGAAATAGTGGCATTAGTTGAAGAGCAGTGCGACTTGGGCAAGTGACATGGTCACTTGGTCAACCTTTTGGCGATAACGCTACCACTTGGGCAAGACACCAGGGTCCTGGTTGGTGCACTTGCCAACCCCCAAACCCTAAACACTAAACCCCTCAACCCTGCATCCCTAAACCCTAAACCCCTAGACCCCCAAACCCCCAAACGAACGTGGTCACTTAACTTGCCCAAGTCGCAGCGTTATCCACAAACCCAAGTGGTTCGTGGTGGTGGTGGTGGTGGTGGTGGCGGCGGCGGCGGTGGTGGTGGTGGCGGCCGTTTCGGTTGTTGTTATTGATGGTATCCTTGTTATTGTCGTGTATCATTTGCCGTTTGTCGTTGTCGTTGTCGTTG